TGTCTGCATCTTGGACCCCACAGTTCTTTATCTGCTAGGTTGTCTCGTCAGCCCTGAATTTGAACATCTTTCTTAGTGTCAAATGATTAAAAGCCTGATCGCCGTCATTGTCATGCCACACCTCTGTCTCTTGACCTTCACAGCATCTTCAGTTGTATGATGACACATTACACGTGGCACAGAGGAAGGGATCTAGAATTATTCTCTAGAATTAAACAATAGACACTGGATTGTAAATCCATGGATGTAGCAGCTTCTTGTCCAATGCACTTATTAAAGCTATGCTCTTGAAGTAGTTTCATATATACACAGAGGCTTCGGGCAGGCACAGAGTCTTGGTGATTTAGTGATGAGCCTCCAATAATTAACATTCTTTGGAAGTTGTGCTTGCTGGCTCTTCATACTCTCATGTTTTTCCTAAGTGCAAGGACATTCTCCCACATGACCACTGGGCAGACATCAAAACTCAGAAATATGCAGTGAACAGTTTTCAGTATCTATACTACAGGCCTGTCTTCCTAGTTACGCCCTTTATGTTCAAAGTCTAACCCAGGAGCATGTATATTTAGTTTTTGGGTCTCTCTCTATCTTGGTCAAATTTTCATCTTCCTGTTCTTCATAATCTTAACCTTTTCTCAAAAACATAGGCTATTATCCTTGTAGAATATTCCTTAGTTGGGGTTTGATGTTGTCTTCTGGCATATGTACTTTTAAAGGCTTAGAACAGAAACAATGTTATGCAAAGTATACCCAAACTGGGCACATAGTATTAATTTGACCATTAATCTGGTTGATGAACCCTTTGATCCCTGGATAAGGTTGCATTTGCTAGGTTTCTCCATGCAAAAGTTAGTAGAGTGCAATAAATCAATACGTAATTTATAAATGCCTTGCAAGGGAATATTTTGAGGCTACATAAGATCAGTGAACTCCCATTCTTCTTAGACATTATGCTTTGTTATGTCACAATGTAACATCAGCAAACACGGAAATCATTTCTAGAAGATACATGGGGTTGGTTTTGTAATAATGTGATCACCTATATGTGACTTCATTTTATGTTTGAATGTCTGTATATAATGGCTACTGTTGATGCATTAACTTTGAGATCATGCCAAATACCTGTAATCATGCCTAGAGCAAGCATCTTTGCTGTATGTATTTTCTCCTGAGCTCATTCATCGCAACCACCTGCAATTACCACAGGAGACCCCCTTGGCAGCTTATTTGACCTTTTATGCTTTGGATGTAAAGTCTGGCTGTATGGAGAAGGTTGGCCCTCAACTAATAGTTCTTGTGTCTTAGCCTCCTAAGTACTGGATTATAGGTGTATAATACCTTCATTGTGCCTGATATTAGGGACTTTTTAAATAAGCAAAATCACCAGGAGAACATATAATGAGAAAACTGTGACAAACTATCGTGACAAAGACTCACCTTTACTATGTCAGAGCTGAACATGTTTTCAACTTCTTCTAGGAAAGGGGTGTGGATGACAGGAAACGGGGTGTGGAGGACTTGCCACCTTGAGTGCGGTTGTGAACGTGCATCTAGTGTTAGTTTTAGGCTTACAAGTGAATTTTATCAAAAAGCTAAATCTGCCAGTACAATTCGTAAACAAGGAGGACTGGATGTATGTTGTTTCTGTTGGATTTTCACCAAATTCTTTTGGCATTCATTGAGCTCAGAAGATCCCTGTTCATTGAAGTTATTTTTCACTCTTTGTATTTTCTGATTATACTTTGTGTATTCTGTCTCCCAACTCTGAAGTCAGACATTTCTCTGTTCCTTTTAGTAGAAAATGACTTTTACAAACCCAGAATTGCGTGATGGATGGACTCATTCCTACTGCAGTATCATTATGTCAGGCTTGTTTGCAACAATGTTGCAAATAATATGGACACATCCAAACACATGCATGCATCTGTGTGTGTGTGTGCATCTGTCTGTGACCTGTCAGTCAGCCTATTATAGCTTTTATTTATCTGTTATAAATCATCTATCAATCTGTTCTATCATATCTGTCTATCTATCTATCAATCATCTATTTACCCATCCATCTATTATCAGCTAATATATCTCTTCTATATATATCTGCTCATCTAATTGGTTCATGTGAGTACCTTCAGTACCTATCTGCTCCTTCTGTCTACACTTCAAAGTCCTTTTCTGGCAGTTAGTAATCTGATTTCTTCAATTCTTCAATGTAATTAGTAGCTCAGTTTCTATATGTAAAAAATACTCAGTCGTACCAGCCCAAGACAACACTAAATTCTTTGGCTCCTTCAGGGCATTTGGGCAAAACACTAAGCCCAAGTCAGTGGTTATGGAGGGTGAAAGGAAGAGTTATTGAAAGTCTAAACTTCATCAGATCTTTTTAAGTAACAACCAACTTTAGTTTTATTTATTTATTTATCCAATAAATTTTTAAAGAGATAAGAGAATGTTCATATATATATATATATATATATATATATATATATATATATATATGTATATTTTCTTACCCTTAAAGCTAAAAAACTGTTTTACCAAACCAAATGTCTCTAAAAGACACGTAGATGGATACATGGCTCAGTAGGTTGCAAGCATATTCAGGTGGAAAGATGGCTCAGTGCATTACAAGCATACATAGCTCCTGCAGTGCAGACACTAGCACTCTGTTCCCAGCTTCTGTGCAAACATGTGCCTGTAACTCCAGCTCCAGGGGACCTTGATATTGTGGATCTCCAAGGATACCTGTGCTCCTGTGCATATACTTACACAAAGACATACACAATTAAAAAGAAATATATCATAAAATTAAAAACAAATTTGAGATGATGAATATGACTTAAAATATTCTTGTGATACAAATGTTTTCATCCTGTCTTTTAAACTTCCCTTTTCCTAGATGTTTTAGATTCAATATTTGCCTTTTAGCATGCCAGCTAAACTTTATTACAATCTTTGAATGTTGCTAATCTTACAATATGATGTTTTAATATAAGGTTTACAGGGAAAACTTATGAAATGATTTAGTTGTTTTTCTTTGGTGTGTTTATCTATGTTAAAGGTCAAGTGTGCATGTTAGCTTCCCCTAGAGCCTTAAACCTCGTAGAGTTAGCTAAGACCCAGAACATTACATTTAACTAATTACTGCTTGATGCTACCTATTACTCTCTACTTCCCAAGTCTTAGATCTGGTTAGTGGGAGGCTATGAATTATAGTGCCAATAAAAGCCAACCAATCCTAACGGAATGACTTTACTATGTTGTAATGTAAGGGATAAATGTTTTCCAAGATTATCTTTTCCATGGAGGTACAACAGTTATGCAAATGTATATCCATTCATTCTGCAAAAATGAAAACCACAGACATTTATAAGATATGAAATGTATCCCCCTTCCATTCTTCATCATGATTCTATAACATAAGCCCTTAGGAATATGGTATTAATGTATTAAGAAGTCCTCATTTGATCTAAAAATGCATTCTTTTGGCTTGTTTCATTTTTGCTTAAATATGATGATATGCACATATTTATGTGTGTTTCTTTAGCTCGCTTTACTCACCAATATAATACTTTTTGCAATTCTTTTGTGCTAGCCCATGTAGCTGTTTCAATTTTAATGACCACTTCATGTTAAATTATATGACTATACCATAATTTGTTTGAACATTTCCCATGGATGGCCATTTAGCTGTCTCAGATTTTAATAGTATAAGTGATGTTTATCTGTAGCACATTCTGTTAAATAAATACCTGGACCTAAGGACGCGATCTTTCTTCTTGAGAGGCTGCCCAGTAGGTGCTGAGCCTCATCTCCGGGTTCTCTTTCCCTTTAGGACCTCATGGCCTTTTGTTCTTCCATCCAAGGTACCTGGGAGTGGTGACTCGATGTCCTCATGCCTTGCCACTGCTTTAACTATGAATACTTCCTGTTTCATAAACAAGGCTGAAGGCCAGGTGCCCAGCATCCTCTACCTGCTGCTCTGCTCTGGGCCTCTGCAGTGTGGGACCAAAGACTTGCCAACTCTGAAATGCATCTTGGACTTAAGAGATGGTTCAGCTGTTAAGAGTGCTTGTTGCTTTTTCTGAGGACCAAGTTCAGTTCCCTGCTCTCATTTTGGGTGACTCGCGCCCACCAGTAACGCCAGCTCCAGGGCATCTGTTATACTTTTTTGGATTCCTAGAGCAACCACATATACCTATGCATACATGGTCTCTCTCTCTCTCTCTCTCTCTCTCTCTCTCTCTCTCTCTCTCTCTTCCTCCCTCTCTCTCCTCTTGCACACACATCTACACGCAAGTAAATAATAAATTGAATTTAAAAAAAGAGAACTGTCTCTTTTCAGGAGAGGTAGCTGGGTGAACTTGAAGCTATAATGTTGGATTAGCTCACAACTACTTTGTATATTAAAGGAGTTTTAGGGTCTTAACAGAAAATGTGATTTACTTAATGAAAAAGGCAAAAAATTAGTTGAAACTTTTTTTTTAAAACAGTAGGAATTATATGCTGTATAATGTTTATGAAGATGTTTGTATCTGGGTATGCTTTTAGATGCTATTTCCTTCATTATTCTGGTTTTGAATTAGAAGAACAAGAATGGTTTCAAGTATCATCAGAAGCAGGGTAATGGTCGCATACACCTTTAATCCCAACACTTTAGGCAGGCATAGGCAGGCATAGGCAGGCATAGGTAGGCATAGGCAGGCATAGGCAGGCACAGGCAAGCAGATCTCTGAGTTTGAGACCAGCCTGGTCTACAGAGTGAATTCCTGGACATTCAGGGTTACACAGAGAAACCATGTCTCACCCACCACCCCACACTCACAAAAACCAAACCAAGCCAAACCAAAATCAAAACCAGCCACCAGTGCTTTCTGTTGTTACTTTCTTGTGGAGAAGGTTGCCCAAGGACTATTTTCAGTTCATTAAAAGCAGAGAACTTCAGTTTTCTTTTATTTCCCTTCTCTCGTTTGTAACACTCATGTATCACTTCCTTCATTTTGTAGACCTACCGAGAGCAGCTGTCAGGATCTTAAGCAACATGACATTCCTTTTTGTGAGTCTGTCATACACAGCTGAGAGTGCCATTGTCACCGCTTTCATTACCTTCATCCCCAAGTTCATCGAGTCACAGTTTGGTATCCCAGCTTCCAATGCCAGCATCTACACTGGTAAGGCACTGCCACTAAGGCTGCTTGTAACCACGGCCGATGTGTCCGAGGGAGTGGTGACCGGTCTAGCGTCGCTCACATGTGTGCTGCCGGCTCCTGCTGCCCCGGAGCTTGTGATGGGATGTGGTTTCTTTGATACTGATTGTATTCATGGGATATATTCATTATCTTTGTTTTGAAAGGGAAGAATATTGGATATTTATGATTTTTTTGTGGATCTTGATTAAACAGAATAAAATAAGTGACAAGGTTCAAATTTAGATTTGTATTGATCTTCTTATGGATTAGCAGGGATCTTTAAGTGTTAAGTGAATAAGTTGGTGATTTAAAAATCCAGATCAGTTCCATGGTTTCAGGGTTTTCCATTCATAAACCTGAATAGATTTCACTTGAGGTACTGAAGATGCATGAGATTTAAAGAGATACTTTGTGAGTTTTATTTTAGTTGTTTCATGTCCAGTCAGGCTGGACATGACGTCTTTGATATGTGTACTTGTAGGACTTAGTGCTCAAACCTTATTGGGTAGTAAATATGATACTTAGTAATATAGGAAAACCAATTCTCAGTTTTAGGAGAATTACAATGTTATATAATATCTTAAATCTTTCCTTAGTGGTAATAGAAATGGCAAATGGCTTTGTCTACAAAGAGCTTAATTTACCAATAGCAGATAATTAAATATTTTTGAATAATAGTAAGTTTGAATAAATAGTATTTTTTCTAATGTAGCTTGGTTTCCTATTCCTACATTTAAACCCAGCATGCTTGAATTATCTAAAAATAAACAGAAAAAAGTATATTCTGTAAGAAGAGAAGTTGATATGAAATATCTGTTTGCTTCATCTTGTATATAGAAAGGCATCCAAATTGGTCATGTGTCCATGGTTATAAACCATGTAATAAATAGTAAATGTCTGCAGACTGCTATAACTTGTAAGTTAAAATCTGTTTTGCTTTTCTAGCTTTCAAAAATACTTTCCTCTATTAATGAGACATCCCCAGATCATGTTTCAGCATGGCTAACAGAAAATCAAAGGCTCCTGTTCCTAGTTTAGTTCTTACACTGGCCTTTGTTGAACAGTGACTCATGGAGAGGGAATCCAAGAGCTTCTGCGACTGAATTCAAAGCTGTAGGATACTTGCACACATTGCCCAGACTAAGCTTCAGTATAAAAGGTGTGACTAGGAAGAAGGTTCATAGCCGAGTGAATCTAGTGTTTTCTATGTTACACAGAGTGCTGCAGGGCTGGTTACCCCAGCTATCCTTCTCCAATCACCCTTACTACCTTAGCATGCTCTGTAAGACTCCCTGAGGGAGACTCAGATGGTGTCTTTCTCCAGGCTTATTTGCCTATGAAACTCAATCTTTTGTTTACTCATTACGATAGGATATTGTTATTTATGTATTTTTTGTTTGTATGTGTGACACTGTCTCAATATTTCATTCCGCTTATTTTGAAACTGATCTCATTGTGCAGCCTAGAATGATCCCACGGCCTCGGTCTCTATGTGCAGAGATTATATCTATGTGAACTGTCACATCTCACAGAAACTTGTCTTTCTGTTTTTTCTCTGGTAAAATGTGGGACTCAGTCATGTTTGTCTATTTCAGACACACTAGGAAGTACAGAACTGTCTGGGTCATCTTTCTATGTACAGTTTTCACTCCCGGGCTCCAGGGCAGTTTGCAGGTGTAAACAATTGAATGCGGACCGATGGGGCCATCTCTTAAATGCAGGTAGAGAAGAGGCTAGTTTATTCTCTGAGGTAAAATGGAGGAAAACTTTCAGTGCAATCCAGAGGGTTGGATATGTAGTCCCCAGCGGCAGATAGAGACATCTGTCTAAATGAGGCTGTTTACCCCTCCTCCACAACACAATGCCAGGATGAGAGAAGCCACGTGACCAAGCGCAGTTCCATTCCGGTCACAGCATCCATCAGTGTCCGTCCTCTGTCATCTGTTTTAAAATGACGGCTCGTGCGTTTCAGAATTCACAGTCTTTGTCCTGTGTTTCCCAGTGGCTTTGGAAAAAGAAGGTACTTTCTCTTGATTATCGTCGTTTGACTCATAGACGAGAAGTAAATTCAAGAAAAATTCAGGCTGACCAAGAGCAGAGGAGCTTTATTAAGTCACAGTAAGAGTAAAAGCAGAGTGATTTCTTTAAAGCTCTTCTTGGGCCTTTGCCTTGCTATGAATCACTTCCTTCTTACCCTCTGAACACAGATTTTAATTTTTTGAAAGACTTTGAGGGTTCTTTCTTGTTGTTGTTGTTGCTCTCTGAAGCCTTCCTATAGATGTGAAATGAAATGGAGAATCATGAATTTTTTTTCTGGGGGAAAAAAATTCTTCTACAATAGCGTCAATTTCTTTTCTTCTTTCTTTTCTTTTTTTGAGATTTATTTATTTATTATGTATGCAGACAGTGTTCTGCCTGCATGTATGCCTGTAGAAGAGGGCACCAGATTCTATTACAGATGGTCATAAACCACCATGTGGTTGCTGGGAGTTGAACTCAGGACCTCTGGAAGAGCAGCCAGTGCTCTTAACCGCTGAGCCACCTCTCTACCCTTAATTTATTAACTGACAAAATTTTCAAATAATTATTCTTTCATAGTTTTTTTTCATTGGACCCAGGATGTCATGTGTGCTGGAAGGCCCTCCACCCCAGACTTACCATTTATCTTTCAAAAACTGTTTAAATAACTATCTTAACCCAACTATCTCAACACAATTTTCTTGTGTTGTGTCATAGGGGAAAATGTGCCAGACATGTCCTGGAGATGAGTCTGTGAACACTGGCTTAGTCATTGTCCCTCCATACCAGCTCTGGACAGGGCTTTGTGCCTTGGACAGGATATGGAAAGATAAAGACCCAACCAGGCTCCCCTTGCTCAAAGTAAACTTTATATGTTTACATTACAAAAAGAACACTGCAAAGTGATGGATATTATATTTCACTTAATATATGTATACAATACATACATATTTGGACAAACCACATTGTTATATAAGTTTTGTTAGTTAAAATTAAATAATTAAAAATAGATGCCCCCACCCCCACTCCACAGGCTGCTTTGATAGAAGATTTTGGCTCCAGAGATTATTTTGGCTGGCAAGAGAATGGTGTTTGAGTTGTTTTCATGGCAAAATATAACTAAGCTATGTATCCATCCATCTATCTATCTATCTATCTATCTATCTATCTATCTATCATCTATCTATCTATCTATCATCTATCTATTGAATGATCTATCTACCATTTTTCAATCTATCTACCTACCTATCATCTATCTGTATCATTTATCTATTATCTATCATCTATCTACCTATAGATCATCTATCTACATCTGTCATCTATCTATCTATCTATCTATCTATCTATCTATCTATCTAATTTATTATCATCTACTGATCATCTATCTAACGGTCAAAATTGTCTATTTAGAGTTGGAGGAGCAGAATGAGTAAAGCAGGTTGATGGAGGTTGGGGAGGGGATAAGGGTGGTTCTAGTGGGAGAAAAATGAGGCAGAAAGAAAATGGGAGCAGATCCTGGGAAGTTTAGAAATAGAGGAGCCAGGCAGACAGGCCGGCAGGCAGACAGGCCGGCGGCCGGTGGGAGGTCGGGCAGGGCATGGGGGCCTGATGGTTTTCTCAGGGAGCGTCAGCACTACCCAACTTCACTATAGTTACCCTGGAGGACTCCTGTGTCCAGGCAGAGATGATGATGTCAGTCCCTGATGAGAGTGTCATCATAGCATGACACTCAGTCTCATAGCGGTTCTGTGTGGCCTCTATTCAGGGGCAGGATGGTGCTTCAGAACACGCTTTCTCCGTACTCAGCCTCCTTGATAACCCAGTCAGAGTCACATTACTTGGATAGAATATGATGAAGTTGATATTTTGGTGGGAAGAACCGCCAGTTGGACACTGACCTTTTAATAGCCTCTCACCTTCTGTTTTCACGTCCCACGCACCCGCAGCTTCCTGATCCTGGTTTTCATGTCCCATGCACCCGCAGCTTCCTGATCCTGCCCCGAGAGCTTTTCCTTCACTCTGTGTGCCCTTCCACTTTCAGGACTCACACATGGCATTTGTTGCATACAGAGTACTAAGTGTTTTCCACAAAAACGGCATTGTTTAATCCATGTAATTGAAGCCTGTGCTGTAGGCATTGTTAACTATGCCCATTTTTCCAAAGAAGGAAACAACCTCTGGGAGGTTTAACTAACTTGCATAAAGGTAGGTAGATTCTAGAGTTGTGTATTTCTCAGAGACTACAATCATCATCCAATGTCTTAACTGGAGCAGTAGGAGAGGCACATGTGATTTGTCATTCTTTCCGACCATTCAGTCTTTCACTAGTCTGACATGTTCTGATGGAGTCCTACGTCTGTCCCATGATGCAGGAGCACGTGCTGGGTCAGTGGCATTTGTCTTGAAAGCACTGTGACTTTTCTGTGTCACCTTTGCCTGGGATCCTACCCTTACACGTACATAGTGACAAACAGTTGAGACACAAAGGCATGTTACAAATGGCCTTGGAAAATTGTTTTGTCTCTCCTGTCCAGAGTAATCAAATCCTCTTCTGTGGGAAGAGGATTAGGTTAGGATATGAGGTTTTTTGTTTTTTGTTTTTGACTTTGCTGTGCATTTTAGTTACAGATTTACAGTTTCCTGGCTGAAATAAGGCAGCACCCTAAAGTTTAAACCGAAGTCTTGGACAGTCAGCACATGTTTAGATGCAGGGCAGCTTGAACCTGCATGGACTTGGGTCACTTTTCTGTGAGCAGTTGTAGCATTTTTAAAATCAGATCTTTTATGTTATCAAGACAGCTGAAAATTCAGGTTTGCTGTCATTTTTATAAATATTGGCATATATTTTCTTTTTAACATTGATGCAGATGCTCCATAAACCGTCCCATTTCCAAGGTTACAAAATGACCTTGACTCAGATCTTTGCTGGCGCTACAAAGATAGTTCTGCGCACCAAGAGAGAA